AAAGAGGCTGAAAATGTGGGTGCGTCTTATACACTGAATACAGCACTTTTTTGCCTCCCAAAACTCCGCCCCTACATCAAAATGGCTGTGCATAGGTTTTAGGAGGCTTTCAGAGTGCTCCTGGGGGCTGGGGAGGACAGAAATGAGTGAGAAAAACGGACCATTTTTGCCCCCCCCCAGCCCCCAGCTTTTCTACTAGGTATAATGACTGCGAAATATAAAAAAAAGAAATCCAGTGTTTAATTTTACACGTAATTACGGCGGCGAGGATTGCCTTCGCTCAGAAATGGAAAAATAAATTAATTCCAAGCGAAGATGAAATAATAAGAAAGGTTATGGACTGTGCCAAAATGGATATAAAATATATATATATCCATTTTGGCACAGTCCATAACCTTTCTTATTATTTCATCTTATATATATATGCACTCAAGAGAGTTTAAATGTACTAGAGGTAATCACCCAATATAACAGATAGATGAGTAAAATAAGAGGGTTAAAAATGGTGAAATGCAAATGACATATACTAGAAGGGGAATTGTATCAATTAGAAATTGCTATTAGAAAGAACAGGAAGTTCCTGTTCATACTGTATTGTGTAAATGTAGTGTACGTCTTAAGTTTTGTGTGTGTGTATTTTGTATGTTTGTAAATAAATAAAAATATTTTTTTTAAAGGAAAAAAAAAGATACAAACTGGGTGAATAATCTAAGATATCAACTTAGTGAGTTTTGTTTCGTTTTTAAATGGCTCCAGCTAAGCCGTCCCAAGGCTGTTGCATTCTACCAAGAGTTGAGAGTGTTGAATGTTGATTTTAGTGGGTGGCCCGAGGCCTAGGTTATTAAAGCAGGAAAATTTAATCTCAAAACTGGTTCACACATGTATATTTTATATGTCGTGAGACTCAAAAGTCCCAAACAGTCCCTTGCTTGAGCCCATCGCAAGGGAATAATATTCATTTACGAGGTACAATTTTTAATTAACCAATAGGAATGTCTGCCCCCACAGAAGTTAGGATGCCGATAAGTGGCTGGTACATGTGCAAAATCAGGCTTTAAGATTTCAGAATTCTTAAGGGAGAAGCTCCCTCCCTGAGCTTGGAGACACCAGGAAGAGACAAAATTTTGTGTGTCTTACCATGTGATACAAGTCAGAATGTTGCTGAAGCCTTTTACTGTGGGGCTATTAAACCTCTCCCCTAGAATGAACAAGTAGGTAGGTGAGGAAGGGAGGGAGGGAAGGAAGGAAGGGATGGGATGGATAGATGGAAGGAAGGAAGAAAGGAAGGGATAGGATGGATGGATGGATGGATGGATGGAAGAATGAAAGAAGCAACAGGATGGATGGAAGAAAGATAGGAAGGAAAGAAGGGACAGGATGGATAAATAGACGGATGGAAGGGTGGGAGGGGCAGAATGGATGGAAGAAAGGAAGGAAAGAAACGATAGGAAAGAAGGGATGGACAGGATGGACGGAAGGAAGGAATGAAGGGGCAGGATGGTTGGATGGAAGAAAGGAAGGAAGGAAAAGATATAGGAAGGGACAGGATGGATGGATAGAAGCAAGAATGAAAGAAGGGACAGGATGGATGGAAGAAATATAGGAAGGAAAGAAGCGACAGGATGGATAAATAGATGGATGGAAGGGAGAGAGGGGCAGAATGGTTGGGAGAAAGGAAGGAAGGAAAAGATATAGGAAGGAAGGGACAGGATGGATGGATAGAAGGAAGAATGAAAGAAGCGACAGGGTGGATGGATGGAAGAAAGATAGATAGGAAGGGAAGAAGGGACAGGATAGATAGATGGGAGGAAGGGAGGGAGTGGCAGGATGGATGGAAGAAAGGAAGGAAGGAAACGATAGGAAGAAAGGGAGGGACAGGATGGATGGATGGAAGGAAGGAATGAAGGGGCAGGATGGTTGGATGGAAGAAAGGAAGGAAGGAAAAGATATAGGAAGGAAGGGACAGAATGGATGGATAGAAGGAAGAATGAAAGAAGTGACAGGATGGATGGATGGAAGAAAGATAGATAGGAAGGGAAGAAGGGACAGATTGGATTGATGGGAGGAAGGGAGAGGCAGGATGGATGGAAGAAAGGAAGGAAGGAAACGATAGGAAGAAAGGGAGGGACAGGATGGATGGATGGAAGGAAGGAATGAAGGGGCAGGATGGTTGGATGGAAGAAAGGAAGGAAGGAAAAGATATAGGAAGGAAGGGACAGGATGGATGGATAGAAGGAAGAATGAAAGAAGGGACAGGATAGATGGATTGATGGAAGGAAGGGAGGGAGGGACAGGATGGATGGATGGAAGAAAGTAAGGAAGGAAAAGGTGGATAGGAAGGAAGGAAGGAAGGAAGGAAGGAAGGAAGGAAGGAAGGAAGGAAGGAAGGA